AAAATATGTAATATTACGACACGTTCAATTTGTATGATGATTATCATGGACTCTAGTCTCTGTATACCATGAGCTGATAACGTCTATGTCGTCTGTCCATCTCTTTCGTGTCTGTCACCCGGGTTTTATTTCGGTGAACGTAAGGCATAATAATATCGTAGGGATTATCTCTTATTTTGAACATTTATTTCAGGTATATCACTCAGCCTACCAGTACAATAGCTTACGACACAAGCCAGGACTATGCAATCATTTCAAACGAACCAAGAACAGACACTGATATATTTTCCAGCACTCTCAGATATGCAGAAATTACAGACGAAAAGAAAGACCAAACTAACATACGACCACCAGAATCCCCAAAGAATCAACAAAGAGATACCGTAAATTTGCCGTTACTAAGCAACAGGGCAGAGTGTCCGGATAACATGACAGCAAGCGATCCAGACGAGCATATTTATGCCGAGCCGTTTCAACATGAACAACATGTGGATCGACCAGCTGAAAAGGTCAAATCTGCGCCAATCGAGGCTTATCAGATTGTCCCGTTAACAGAGGGGCATGCCGAACCCGAAAATGCCGACCTCTACGACCACACCAACTGGCAGCCACGAGAAAGAAGTGATCAGGAAACACTAGAGGAATACAATGAATTGAACTTGAACAAAGACACTCGTACAAGAGATCACATTTACAATACCTTAACTAAATGGTGATGGTTTACCGATTTCAGTGATACAATCTGGTACAGCTCAGCCCGGTCGTCTTGTTATCTTACGTCGTGTTCCAACATCCCCTAGCTGCAGTTTTAGCATTTCCGATTGCTGTATGTTGGACTATGTTGAGCCAAATGCAAGCGACCACAGTTCCATGCATAAAGTAAATGCAGAGTTAGTTGACGATACGTACTGTCTGACTATACCCTTAACATGACACTTTGTCGCATACGACTTGTTTACCACTTCCGTGTGACTGAGAATGTTCTAGAACCGTACTGTGTCTGGGTGGAATTTTTAGAAGCTGGTTGAATAGGTAATAGGACACTGTAGAAGGCAATAGAAGGTAATGAAACATTCTAGAAATTTGTAGTAAATTCCAGATTCATTATGTATGCTGATGTAATGGTCTATTTATAGACAGCGTGGGTGTATATATAGGGGAGTTGTTCAGCACTGAGATCAGATCGGAGATCTCGTTGAATTGTGTTGGAGTTTAAGTATCTAGTTATTGGAGGTTTGGCGTTTTACCGCGTTATTGTACTTGATGTTTGCAGAGTATAATAATACCAGTACCAGTTGAAACCTCATCTGTTGGCTCCGTGTTCGTATTTTATCATCGCCGC